GTTACCCTAGTACTAGGATCAAAAAAGAGGACTCCTGTGGGGGTGGGGAGAGGGGGATTGGGGCGAGGGGAGGAGAGGGGAACGGGTATATGATTGTGGAGGGGGCAGTGACATGCCCATGCCCTGCTTCTGCCCCTCACTCCCAAGCCCCTGCCCCTCAGTCCCAACCCACAGCCACCTGCCCCTGCAGCCCTGCTGCTTGCTGGCCCACGTGCAGAGTACATGACCCCCAACATCCAGTCACATTGCCTGCTCCTCCCAGTCCCAAGCAACCAAGCTGCTAGTGCCTGGGAAAGCAGAGGCAAAGCAAAAAAACAGGACATTTGCTCGCATTTTAAAAACCTGCCAGGACTGGACAGGGGGGCAAGAAAGAGGACATATCTGGGAAAACCCAGACGTATGGTAACGCTGGCCACCACGACACTCGGAGGCAGATAGTGAAATGGGCCAAGCTGTCCAGCGGCGAGTCTGCACTTGCGAGGGAGAAGGAAAAGCTCCACCATAAGCCAGGAAAAAGGCTGTAGCAAGGTGCGAGCACTCTCAGTGCTGACCCTAAAATACAGGCTATCATAATAAGCTGAGCAGCTGGGGAGAGAGCAAAAGAGCCCAAGGGTGGGGAACCTTGAGGAAGCCAGGGAGTGGCAAGATAAAGATGTCAACCTCAACGGCCACCGATACCTAAGGAGCCAAGGATAGAAGTGTACACCCTTTCTGAGGCCTTCTCACACAAGCAGCCTGCCAAGGAGAACCAGCTTGGGATGTAAAGGACCATAAATCCTGAACAATCGCCATCTAGGAGATCAGTTCTAAGGGTCTTTAGTCTTTGTGTAGCCTTAACAACTCATTAGGAAGGCAGTACTGAGTGGTTTTTACATCTCTGGAGCTGCCCTTTACCAATTTCCAAACATGCGGGCTGCCATGCAGAAAGGGTACCAAAGAGCCAGCCCTGAGCTTTCTAACAACTCCTTCCCTCCTTAGCATCATGAAAGAGCAGGGGGCTGAAGGAAGAATGTGTTTTTAAAAGATTATTTTCCAAAGGCAGTAGAGCCCTGGGAAGAGAGCAGCAATAACATCTGCTAGGACTTAGGGTGGAATGGCAAAGCTCCCATAGGCTTGGTTCTAGCTCTTCCATCTCCGGTGCTACTGGAATCACGCACCACAGTTTTAGAGCTAGTAGCTGAGTTTTCCAACCTTCCCACAAAACATTCTTCATCAAAAAATGTTAACATGAAAGCATTTTGCAGTGATATTTGTTTCATCTTTATCCTCAGCTTACATATGAAGAAAACAGAGAAAGAGTAGGGGCGATTCACCCAAGGCTTCACAGAAATTCGGTGGCAAAGCTAGGAGCAGGTTTTCATGACACCCATAACTGCTAGGGGTGCACTGATAAAGATTTTTTGGGCCGATATGGATGGCTGATTATTAACCAGCCATATCGTCTGATACTGATCCGACTGCTGATATGCAGCCTGGCAGCTTGGAGAGCAATGTGCAGCTGGTAAATCTGTTGGGGGGAAGGAGGGGAGGGGCATGGGGGTGCAGATCAAGGACACCATAAGGGAGAGAGTGGGGCTGGGGCTGGGGCAGGGGCAGGTGCTGCACAGCTGGGGCAGAGTATGGGACACAGCCGCAGTTCATCCAGAGGGGCATGGGGGGCGGCTTCCACCACTGCATGCACTCTCAGGGGAGTCATGGGGGGTATGTGCCCCCTGGATCTGTGCATGGGGTGAGGGCAGACTTGCTGCTGTGGGCTGGGGCCAGAGGCTGAGCCAGCCTCTTTCTGGAGGGGGGGCTGGGCCACGGCTGTGCTTGGGGCAGGTGGCAACAGTGCTGGGAGGGGGGGCTATGGGAGGACTACAACAACCCCAAAATTTGCTGTAGCCCTCAGTCCCAGCACCGCCACCTGCCTGAGCATAGCCTAGGCCCAGGCAAACCCCTCCACCGAGAAGAGTTCAGTGCAGACGCCAGCCCCAAGTATGCAGCAACAGCTCGCCCTCAGTCCACACAGATCCGGAAGGCATGTGCCCCCCATGCCGCCCCCAGGATGCTTGCAGCTGTAGGAGCCACCCCTGCCCCCGCCCCGCATGAGCTGTGGCTCTGTCCCTCACCCCATGCCAGTTGTGCAGCACCTGCCCCTGCCCCAGCCCCACTCCCTCCCTTGATCTGCCCCCCACGTCCCTTCCCCCCACCAGACTTACCAGCCAGACACTGTTCTGCAGGCTGCCGGGCTGCACTCCTGGCCACATGCATGCTGCGGCTGCATACACGCATGTGACATTTATTGGCAACATTATTGGCTACATCAGCCAAAAAAAGCCGATTACCGATAATGTCATTTTCCTTTTATTGGTGCCAATATGATATGGACCGATGTATCGGTGCACCTCTAATAACTGCAGCATCACGCTTTAACCAAAAGTTATAAGGTTATTTTACAGCCTTAACTCAAAATGCTCTCAAGAGACAAACGGCTTGTTTCCAGTTCTCTTCTAAATGCTTTAGCAAGCAGAAAGATGAAAAGTTTTCCTCACTTTTGCCTGGATAAATGTTCAGAGGACCAGAAACCCCTGGTGAAATACCATCTCTGTTGACTTCAGTGAAACTGGGGTTGCACCCTTGGCATCTGTTTTGAGCTCTGAGGATTTAATCTCTATGGTTGCAAGCCTTGTGGTTTCCACCTCAATAGCACCGAATAAAGCAACTGGGAACGGGGGGGGGGGGGGGGGGGGGG